GCAGCTCCAAGAAACGACGAAGAAGTCGAACGAAGATGAAATCGTATACGTAATTCATGGCATCGGTACCGTCGAGAAGACGATTCCGAATAATAGTTCCAGACTTTCATCGTTTCTTTTTCCCGTTTCCCCGCCCCTCCCCCGAGATTCGAGCTTAACAGTATTCCCGGGGCGTATTACCCAACAATAGTATCGAAATAGTATCGGTAGGGGTGCTCCGAGAATGGAGAGGGACAACAGAACAGGAGGAGTCTGGAAAGGCACGTCACAAAGTTCTCCTTGCCGTCGACAAGACGACGCGACGGCTCGTCGTCTTGCTAGATTGTACAATACAGGGTTTCCGAGTGGTGCTCCCACGCATCGGAGCGGCTTCCCCTTGGGAGCCGTGAAAGACGAATCGAATCTGCTACCAAAAAGAGAGCCGACGTTTCTGAACACGTTTCTTACGACGAACTTCTTCACGGAGCGTCGATAACTGATTGCTATCGGAAATTTCTCCCGAGACTCTAAACAAAAACCCCGCGGCGGAGAACGTCAATTAGAAAGGGGCGCAAGAGCTCGCGAGGCCCAGCTAGCTAGTGACCTAGGATCCTGGCGGGCTCCAGAACTTCCTCGTCGGACTATTATCGATGCGTAATGATCTGGGATCTGGTCTATGGAGGGGAATACATCCACGTTCACTGCATTTACGCAGGAATACTCATGCTCGAACAGGGAGAATAGCGATGCGGTTCGCCTCCATTGGCCCTGATTTCCTTCGCGGTCAACGGGAAGCGGAACTTCCGACGCGAATATTCCGGAAGCTGTCGGTAAATCGGTAGTCTCAAACGAGTTGGAAAGTTTCCTCTGGGGCTCCGTCCTCTGTTTGTGCTTCGAGAGCCGTTCCCTCTCCGTGCTCGGACCTAGCACATATTCGCGAAACGTTTCTCATCGGCAATACGTCTGCTGATTTGACAGAGCGTAGCCAAGCCTTCGGCTTCTCTCAGGAAACTGAAATACGCACGGACGAAGCGACGAAAAAGCGCTATATGACAGCGTCTATGCAAAAAATTATTCTCAGTCGACGGAAAATATTCGCGCCGACGTCAGCGCCGCTCGATTTTCAATATCAGGAGAATGATATCAATCGAGGGCGATTTATTGTTTTTCTCTTCCCGAATGGCTCTTCAAAACAGCAGCCGTTCGTATCCCCAGGTGGAATAAAAAATGATTCCGGCTTCTTTCGTCGGGAGGCTCTCGCTGTATCCCAAGGATGAATAAGTTCCTACATACTCACATACATATGTAAACCGATGTATATATTGAGATGACGCATATCTTGATATCGAAGGTTTCGGATGCTTCGCGCATCTCCACGAGGCCTACCCGAGATCATTCGTCGATCTCCGGGTCTTCCGAGAGAATTACTTCGACTCTTGGCTAGTTGGGGTCGAGTCGGGAGTCGCCGAGATCGGAGTCTCGGGGACTGTCGGAGATGATCAGGACCCAAATTATCTAACCCTCGAAATGGGAACTTTCGAGACTGTTGGCAGGGTCAGATAAACCGCCATTCCGATTTGGAGATACCGGATCGCTTATTTTCTCAGAGCATTGACGGTTCATTATACGACTCGGTTCCGGTCTGATGGCTCAGGGCCTCGTCAATCGCGCATCAGAGGCTGCATAATGCTATGCGAGCGCCCTTGGCGACAGCCTCGAAACCGCGGGATTGCCAAACCCATTTCCCATCACTCGGCATTTGATAATCATTTATGGTCTGTCGTTTTCTACCAGCGTCATCGATTCTGTCCATCGCATCGTATCAAATTGTTCAAGCACGCCATCCGACTGCTCTCAGGGTGCTCAATCGATTGCTGGGGGATGGTTCGTCGAAAATCTTGCGAGCCACGACGAACACGGAGCAACTTGCTCGAGCCCTTCGAGGAGCAGAATCGCTCCGCCGCCTCCCCGGCGGAAGCCGGAATTCGTTCTGTCCGACGCCGCCGCCGTGAGCCCGGCGAGCTCCCTGCGAGGGAGCGCAGACGCCGCGCCGGTTCTATTCTGATTCTCCGGAGCTTTGAACATTCATGAACGGATGCAGACAGGCGTTGCATTATGATAAATGTCGGAGGCTACTTAGATCGAGACTTTTGGGAGGCACAATGTAATTGATCGGTGGAATCAGTGGGAATCGAGTTCCCATCGTCCTCATCACCGGGGCCCATCATACAAATTCATGATGGCTTGGGATTAGAGGTCTTTTATTGTGGGGTTAGGCAGCTGCGACCGTCATGGAGGCATAACTCTTGCTCATAAAAAGCGGAACCCGTTCGGAACCCCGGCTCTCTGGAGCCCTGAGTGGCGGAGTCGAAGTTGTCTAGACTTTATTATGGTCCGACATAACACGATTATCGAACGGTGGAGGTCTCCCGAGAGTCATTCAGTTCGATGCGAAGACAACTCAAAGGTTACTGCTGCCGTTGTTGTTGTTATTTGACTCGCGGGGAGGACGTGTACGTCTCGACAATCATCGACCGAAGCTCTATCGGACGACTCGGCTCTGACAAGCAGCGCGACAGTTAGAGACGGGTCGACATCCGACATCCGAACCATCAGCCCCTCCCTCTCCTCGTCCCTTGCGGAACATTTGTCGGCGTAGAATCGAATATCGATTCCAATCGATTCGGATCGGAGACTCCACGAAATTAAGTTTCATTATAGATTCTATCTGACTGAGTCTAGGCTTGTCATATCGAGAATGGTAAAAAGTTGTACGCTCAGGTGACATTTCATTACATGAGCCGGCCAATTTGGAGCATCTGGGTTCACCACTCTGGAGGCTCGTTCTCTCAGCAGTTCCGCGAGAGAAATCAGGAGAGTGCATAGCGACCATCCCGGTCTGAGCTTGTGCTCGGGATGCAGGTATTTCTTCCGATGTTGGCCCTTGACAGATGTTGCGATGCGGCCGATCGATTGTCCATTGTCCGAGTTGTCGAATACACCTACGAGCACCTCAGCTCGTGGGCGGTCCCATCATAATTCTCGTGTGCTGGAAGCTCGACTTTGAGGCTCTCCAGCTTGATGATCATATGCCGGAATATTGCAAGCGCTCCCGTGTCCTCATGACTCATGAATATTCAATGGGGTATGCGCTGGGAGCTTCCGAGTCTTGGAAAAGATTATTCAGCGCAATGATGGGAATAAGTCATTCATCAAAAGATTCTTGACATGGAATGAGTACCGCGAGAGCTCCCACGCTGATTCTGTCCTCGACTGCACAAAAAGAGTGAATAAAAAGCTCGGAGAATCGTCCATTAACGATGGAGCAAAACTCCTCATCGAGTCTCGGCGGAACTGAAGCAGGATTTACAGCTCTTCGAATCTCGATCTGTATCCATCCTCATCTACCACACCCGTGGGACCGGATGCTCGAGCTCGAGGAGGATGAGTTTCCGTCAGGTGCCACTTGAGTAGCTTCACGCGGACTCGTAGACGCTGATCAGTCGCGCGTGATTGTCGGCCTTAAAGCTTCCTCTTGCACCACGTGTGCTTGCCAACGAGCATCGCTCAAGAATGGGAATGACATTCAGAGTCGGTTCAGAAGATCCGAGGGTTCAATATCGACTTTACTTTTAGAGCAAGGTACCCCTCATTTGGTGGCTGTTCCGAAATTCTTCATCTGGAGTGGTAGAGTGTGTTTAAACCTTTTTTCTTTGTGATGTTGTTGCATCTTTTGGCCAACGAAGCCTCATCGCCTCAGCCTTGACCGCCGTGGCGACGTCATAACGATAAACATGGATCACCGCCTCGGCCCCTCTGTTTCCTCTGATCTAGAGCTCGAATTAGGAAGTCTCGTCTCCTATTATGATCATCGCCTGGCGTTGAGATGGGTTCAACGGAATATCGCTCACTTTGGCGGGAATCCGGACCGGGTGACCCTCATCGGTACCTGGTCGAAAGCGATCAGCGTGTGTCCATTGGAGTCCATTCAGAATTCAATGCGAAGTAGTTGCTTCTCCACGCAGCCATCATCGGCAGGGCCCTCGTGGACACTCACCTGGAATACCGCCAGGAACTTGGACAACGAATGGCAGAAACAGCGGGATCGCTCGGCTGTGAGTCGATAAGCAGCAGCTTTCGTCGTGTTTTCAGAGAGAACGAGCGGGTAATATCGATGATCTCTCCTCTACCGATAAGGAGACGCACCCATGATCGTTCCTTGCGTCTGAAGCAAAAGCGCTCCTCGATCTGAAAATCATCATCGGTCACGCGAACAACGAGTGCTCTTTCGCTCCTGATCCGATCTCCGACTTGATGGAATATTCATGACTGCTCCGTAAGACAGAAAATGATCGATGAGTACCCTAAGAAAAACCCGAATTCCGACGATCCTTTCGCGGAGTACGGGAATCATTCGAGCTCAGTGAATTCTTCCATCAAGGGAATATCACGAGTCAGGAGATCCGTGTACGTGGGATCCACTTCCCGGAGGATCTCGAACTTCGCCAGGAATGATGATGCACAACTTTCCCGGAAACCGGAGTGGTCAGACTCGGCGAATGAGCAAGAGGTCCTCATTATTGAGGAAACACCAGCTCTTTGAAAGGCTCTCGCCGACGAAGCGGGTGCGGAATTTTCCTTTACCTTCCATCGGAGCCCGGGCAGCTGTCCCCTAACAGTGTGAATTTTGCTTCGACCCGAGCTGAAGAAACACATTCCTGGGAAGAGTTCTGTAGGGAAATATGTACATCCCAACGGGACCGAGCTTACAGATTGCTATATCCATTGTTGAGGATCGCTGCATATATTAATATCCTCCAGCTTGGAATAGCATGAATTCCTCCGGAGCAGAATGCGACAGAAAGATCTGGATTTTCCAGCAATTGGCTACACGGATCTGAATCTGGTGCCATCAATATTCGGTTGAAGGAAGGCGTAGCAACGTTCGCGTTGTATAGGCGATCCGGGGAGCGTCGCCGTGGGAGAGAGTTCGACAAACCGCTCTCCCGTATGATTGACAGCAGGCAGACCATGCCGACGACAACAACATCACAATGTTTCTGTGAAAGCAACCAGAATCAACATCGCTCTGCTCGCTCATCATGTGCTCCAAAACTACAAGATTCGATGGCAAGGTCATCATCGTGACTGGTGGGTTAGATTCTGCGAGCACCTGCGAGTCGGAAACGAGGAGCGACCTCGGCCGATCCAATGCGCTTCGACGTTTGGTTCGAATCAGAGATCTCTAAGTCTGCAGGGGAGCCTCCCCCATCTTGGCCCAGACAGCCCAGGATCCGATCGGCCGCGATTCCCTGAAGTAGGAATGAAAACCAAAATTCCGTCTCCTTCAGGATCGAGCTCCGGTATCGGAGCCGCCGCGGCGATAATGTTCGCTGAGCGTGGTGGGAGTGTCGCCATACACGGGAGGCGACAAGATAAACTGGACGAGGTCGCAGCAAAGATCGAATCGGTGTCTGGCAGGAAGGTAAGACTCTCGTTATCGGGTTCCCGCTTCCCGAAATGACCCCGTAATACAATGCCTCACCACCAGCGAGATTCCTTAAGCTCCGGAACCACTCGAAGTTCTCAATCTATTCTTGATTGCGGATCCCCTCGCGGAAACTCTCTTGCTTAAGTCAGAGGTCTGTTGTTTTTCAGCCAGTGTCGGTGACCGGTGACATAACTTGCGAGAAGGACCGCGAGACTCTCGTGAATGAAACTCTGAAGGCTTTCGGGAGGATCGACGTTTTGGTGAATAATGCCGGAACTTGCGAACCCTCAGGTTGGCAGACAGATATCAAACTCTTACAGCCAGTGCTGGATCTGCACGTGATAGCCCCTCTGGATCTATCTCAGAGATGCATGCCTGAATTGTTGAAGAACAAGGGAAACATCGTTATGATCTCCTCGATTGGAGGTCTTATGGCGGTAGGTGTGCAGTCGTGAAATTTTCGCGGGGGAGCTCCGGGAGAGGTCGTCGGGAGTCGCTCTAGAGTCTCAAGGAAAAATCCATCTTTCCAGCCGAGAGGATACCTCCATTATTCGATCGCCAAGGGCGGCATGCAGACGATGATGAGAACCCTTGCGGCTGAGGTTGCCAAGCTCGGAGTCAGGGTGAATGCGGTCAAGTGAGTTCCCGAGAGATGGATCTTTGTCGGCCTGGAGCGATCTCGCTCGTGGTCCGCTCCATAAGGAGGTGCCTATGTGGGACCTCAACAAAAGCTTGAGTGTTCTTAACGAGTTGCCGTTGCAGTCCGGGATACATCGAAACAGACATCTTGAGGGATGAGGAGCTCAAGAAGAGGATCGCTGCGGTAAATAACTTCAATCTCATACATCTGAATGATATAGATATTTCGGTCCCCTATGCACTAGGTCAGAGTGAGTTCTTCTCGTCGGGTATTGAGACTGGCGGAATCCATTTGCAGAACCCGAACTTCACCGCGACTTTCAATCCGAACGGTATCGCTGGAAAACCGGATGATGTTGCGGAAGCGATCTGTTTCCTCTCGAGCGACGCCGCTCGCATGATTACAGGTAGTACGAATACTGTCGACGGTGGCAAAACCGCATTTTTACAGTTTTGAGTCGATCCAAATCCTTACCGGCATCGCCCGACCGTGTCGGAGGTCAGAACGGATGGCACATTCAATAAACTCATCCAATTGACTGGAAAGACTCGCCTCGACCTTGTTATTGCTGCGCGGCTGCCTGTCGATGGGAGGAGGTGTGCTCCTCAACTACATGAGAGCGCCGAACTCACGAAATACGCATCACTCTTAGCTCACAGAAGATTTATTTACTCGATATAGAACTCGGCGACTTGGTTCTCGGGCGGTAGCGGTTCACCTCATCGAGTCTCCAGAAGCTCCTGAAGATTCTTTGAGAACCCGACTTCTGGCTATCCGACGTGTTGCACGCTCGTTGAGGAACGGGGAGAAATCACAGCGCTTCCTCCCGGCGTCGATTGTTCCCAAACCTAGTCGCGCCGGAAAAGCCGGTACCTCGATAGTCGAGCAACGCATACGTCGGGTAGCTCATGGAAATTGAGGGAAGGAGGCGATTGTTATCATGCAACAGAATGAGCGCTCGAGGCCACTTTGAGCGAGTGACGAGGAAACGATGGTCCGGCGGACAGAGTGGAATGATACTTTACGGGAGAATTCACGAGCGAAAGATTCGAGGAATTTTCTGTCCATTTTCTCGAGAAAAATCATTGGGCGGGATGCAGTGTAGCGAGTTTTGGTACATTTGCTTAAATGCCAAGTTCCGGATGAGGCCGAATTGACCTCTTCTCCATCAAACATCTTCCTGGTAAGTAAACTGGCACGTTTTCATCTCTCCGAACTTTTGAATCATTCTCCTACGCTCTCGCAGTTGATTTGACGTGAAAATCATCGTAGGCTTCGGCTCAAGATGTAAATGCATATAACAGTGAGGCAGTTGGTAGCACTGATTCATTGACGTTGTTGGATACTGAGGAGAGGTTTCCGCGAAGCAGGGCGTGGAACGGAGGGAACAATGATTCTCGCCCAGACCGAGAGAAGATTCCAGGATATGAACTCCCTTCCGGCTTACAGCTCTTCTCTATGCGGAGACAGCGTGTTCTCGAAATACGGGAAGACTGACCGGCATCGCGTTCTTTGGGGAAAACCTGAGCTGACCCGCGGCTCCTTATCAATCACGAGAAAATCTCCATCCTCTGAGTAGCGGGGCCATTTAAGTCCACGGTACACGGGCGTATCGTCGCTCTTGGCGAAGTCGGACAACACCTTCATTGCCTCAAGCATGTACTCCTGGTCCGCATCTGCGACCCTCCGTTCTCCTTCCGAATCTTCCAGATAGGCGCCGGTGAAGTGAATGAAGGGCGACATGTGATACGCTCCGAAGATCTTCGGATCGAATGAAAAGTACTTTCTCTCCATAACTTTGTCGAACCGATATACATAGACGTGACCGTTGACTCGTGCGTAGTTCTCGATGAAAGAATTCGATGAACAATAGAAGAAAGCGTCTCCAATAAATTGATCGAAGGCGGTGAATGGGTCGACGAATTCCCTGAGGTAATTTTCCAGTATGGCGTCCTTAAGCCGTTCGTCGCCGTCGATCTCGACTCTTAATCGGTACGCACGGATGATCTCCTGTATGACATCCAGAAAATCCTCATCGGTCAGGGTAGTCGGATGCCCCGCGCCACTCATTGCGGCGAACATCGAACCTTCGTTCTGCGCATAACCGATCAATGTCTTGACTTTGAGGAAATTTCCGGCGTTGCTCTTCAGATACTCCTGGGTGTTCTCAGGCAAGAATATTCCATCGGACGTGGGAGTGAAACGCAGAATTATTGGACCGCAATCAGCTGTTTCTCCGCTCCTCTGTATATCGGCCAGCTCGAGTCCTCGCAGGCACGCGATCAAATTCTCATCTCCAGTACATCCCGCAGCTCTCGCAACGCACCGGGTTCTGTTCTCGGCGACTCTCGGTTCATTGATCAAGGTGCTGGATATCACTCCGGCGTCCATGAAAGCTGCGCGGAACAAATTTCCCTTCTGGCTGTTTAGTGGAGTGACAATTTGTGTGCTCACTGACATTGAGCCCGCGCTCACCCCGATGAGTGTCACTCTTTCGGGATCTCCGCCAAAGATCGCGATGTTTTCTTGGACCCATTCGAGAGCCAAGCGTTGATCGAACAGGCCAAGGTTCTTGAACTCGGAGTTCTCCAAATATCCGAAACCGAGAAAACCCAGGCGATAGTTGAAGCTGACGGTCACAACATCTCCGATCCCGGCCAAAGGCGCCATGTTGAACTCTACGTGGCCGCCTGAACCCCAGAGAAAACCGCCTCCGTGTATAAGCACGACCACCTGTATCGGGAAAAAAGAACTGCGTTTTTTTCCGTTCCAGAGCTGACACGGATAATCAGGATACATGAAGGCGATGATTACCGAATACGAACCGCTTTCATATCCGAACTCGTCGTCCCTGCCTTTCGAAACACATTCAAGAACAAGCAGTCCTCCGAGTCGGTCGTGTTGGAGAACTGTTGCAGTGGGAAGACGTTCGGCTGAGGACAGGAAAATCCATATTTCGTCGCTTCGAAGTCTCCAACTGATCCAAACGCTCGAGGTAGGGCGAAACGAAGCTCCCCGATGGGCGCTTCCGCGTACGGAATGCCCAAGAACGACTCCACATCGACATCGAGCACTTTTCGCACGGTCCCGCGGATTCTCCCTAGACGTCCTTGTACTACCGGCTCGGCGAACGTCCGAGAAACGCACAGCAGAATCGGGACAACCACCAGCATGATAGTATATGCAAAAAATCTGTCCGAAGAATCCGTTGCTGTAGCCGATGACCTATGTATCATGGGAGCCATCGCGGAGGAAGTCTCTCCACAGGAGGAAGAGAGAGAACGGATATTGGCTTCCAAGATTTGAGTCGTAAATCAGGCAATAGATAGTTCAGGTACAGCGTGGAATCTTCTTCGGTAGGATTTCCTTCTATAATAATTAGAGGTGAGAATCGGATGAAGTATCACCCTGATTATGATCCATCAATTGATTGCGTAGTTCGAGACTCAATCTCTGAAGGGATCAGGATTCGCATTGTAATCTCTGCTGATGGCCCGAGTCGATCTGAGGTCTGTCAGCAATCACGGGGTTCTCTTCTCGGGGAATCGGGGCCGCGCAGAGCGGACGAGTCTTCGTTCTTCGCGGACCCTGTCGATACTCTCATCGTTTCAGAAATGCACACTTCATCCGCATCCAGGTCCGAGATTGAGATCTGAGAATATCCTGATGATTTCTTCAAGCCGTTTGAGGGCCAAGCACTGATCGAAAATGCTCAAGTTTTTTAGCTCGTGCCCAATTATCCGAAATCTAAACAGACGGTCTCGACATGCTCGATCCCAATCAATGGCCCCGTGCTGTATCCTACGTTACCACTGAAACCCCGACGAGAACCGCCTCCGTGAATGATAACCACGATCCGGAATGGGAGAAAAGAATAGGCAGTCCCCGACATAAAGAGCAGAAGTTTGGAATCGGTGGAGATTTTCGACAAGAAGCGTGAATGGGCGAAAATTATTCATGCGATTCGTCATACGGACCACTCCCATGCCGGAGCTCGTCGTCCCGGTCCGTCGGGAAACATCCGAAGTGAGGCGATCCTCCGAAGCGGTCGTATTATAATATTTCCCTTCCAGCGCGGAAATCGTTGGGTGTGGGCAGGAGAATCCATATTTGGCGACCCTGAGGTCTCAGAGAGACTGTTCGGATGCTCGAGCTCGCGCGAACCGGAGTCATCCGATGGGAGCATTTGCATAAGGCATGCTCAAGAATGAATATTTTTCGGCGCCAAGAGAATTCTGCACGATTCCGCGAATCCCCCCCCCCCATCGGTCCGTCGACTACCGGCTCAGCCCACGCGATCGGACAAAATGGGAAGAATAAGCTATTCCAGAAGGATATTCGCGCTTCAATTGTCTCGAGAGATATCTGTTCACTCGAAAATTCGGAGAAAGAAAAACAATACGATCGATCGCTCTCGAGAATTCTTTTTGATTCCGGTTTGGTGCCTCAGACTTCCTACAAAACGCGTATTCTTCAGTGCCCCGGGTCCCTCCAGCGGGCAGCTCACCTCATCACGGTCTTCGCATGGCGGATAATCGGATAATATCCGGTACGGGAGCAGAGAGAAAGATCTTCCGCGACCCCAGGTGAGGCTCCGATAAAACCTTTGACGGTAGGGAAATTCTGCAGCAAAGGCTCCATGCGATAAGTTTCATGATGACACCTTGTGAGGATCGATAAAGGATACCAAAATTCTCCCAAAAAAAGCTGTAAGACACCGCATAGGCAGGGATGAGCAGCCTCGGGCGGCCGATCTCTGAAGCCTTCACGAAGGACGGAATCTGGGGATCAGCGATGTGTTTCTCAGTGAGCAGGATTGATCGCAACTCGAGCGGGATCCATACAGAGCATGAGGCCCCGAAAGGAAATACATGCGAAAAGGAGCCTTCCGATTCCGAATGCGAAATCCGACATCCGGGAGGACAGATCGTTGGTAATAGCGAGCTCTTGACTCATAACTCAGTTCTGCTTGAGTGGAGCATTCCCTCGAAGTACGGAAAAACCGCTTGGCATCGAGCTTTATGCGGGAGACCCGATCTGATCCAAGGCCTGTTGTCGACCACGAGAATATTTTCGTTCTCGGAAAAGCGGGGCCATTCAACTCCGCGGAAAGCGGGCCTTTCGTCTTCTTTGGCGAAAGTGGAGAGTACTCTCATCGCCTCGAGCATGAACTCTTTGTCCGCATCCAGAACCTCGTGGTTTCCGTCAGAAGATCCAAGATATGTCCCGGTGAAGTGCACGAACGGAGAAATATGATAAACTCCGAAAACTTCAGGATCAAACGAAAAATAATTTCCTTCAAGAAGTCTCTCGAAGCGATAAACATAAACCTGATCATTGACCCGTGCGTAGTTCTCGATAAACGCGTTCGATGGACAGACGAAGCGGCCATCCCCGATGAATTTTTCGACCGCTGTGAACGGATCGACGAATTTCTTGAGGTATTGTCCCAAAAGATCCTTCTTCATCCTCTCGTCACCTTTGACCTCGACTCTGAAGCTAAAAGCTCGAATCATTTCCTCGATGACATCTATGAATTCCTCATCGGTCATCGTTTCCGGATATTTCTCGCGTCTCATAGCGGCGAACATTGAACCCTCATTCCGCGCGTAGCCGATCATAGTCTTGACTTTGAGGAAATCTCCAGCCTTGGTTTTCAGGTATTCTTCTGCATTCTTAGGCAAGAAGACTCCGTCGGCGACGGGACCGAATCGCACGTGTTTTGTCCCACACGTCGCTACGCGTTGCAGCAGGTCGGCCAGTTCAACTTCGCGAAGGCAGTCGATCAGGTTCTCATCGTCGGCACATCCAGCTGTTCGTGCTACGCATTTCGTACCGTTCTCAGCGATTCCAGGGTCGTTGATCAATACGCCAGAAATGACTCCGGCGTCCATGAATGCTGCGCGGAACAATTTCTTCTTATGCGTGTTGAGTGGAGTGACAATGTGCGCGTTCACCGACATTGAGCCCGCGCTCACGCCGATGAGCGTCACTCTGTCGGGGTCCCCGCCGAACATTCCGATGTTTTCTCTAACCCATTCGAGGGCCAAGCGTTGATCGAGCAAGCCCAAGTTTTTGAAGTCGGTGTCCTCTAAGTAACCAAAGCCGAGGAAACCCAGACGGTAATTGAAACTGACGGTGATCACGTCCCCGATTCCGGCCAGGGGCGCCATGTTGTATTCCACGTTGCCGCTGGAACCCCAGACAAAGCCTCCGCCATGGATCAGAACCACTACCTGTGATACGACGAGACAGTCAAATATCATATTTAGTGCGGGAAATGGGGAGCGTTCGTCTCCTACAACATATGGGCACTGATGATCAAGAAAACAGAAATCCCCTAATGTTTGGAACGAACCGCTTTTTTGTCGGAGATGTTCGTCCCTGTCCTTCGAAAAACATTCAAGAAGAGACAGTTCTCTGAATCGGTTCTCTCAGAGAAATTCTGCAGCGGGGAAGACATTGGTTGTGGACAGGAGCTGCCATATCCGGTGGCGTCGAAGCTACCAACAGGACCGAATGCTTGAGGTCTCGCGAAGCGAAGCTTGCCCGTGGGTGGTTTCGCGTACGGAATGCCTAGGAACGACTCCACTTGGACATCGAGCACATTCCGCACGGTTCCACGGACCTCCCCTAGCGGTCCCTGGACTACAGGTTCGCCGAGCGACAAGACAACGTTGAGTAGAACCGGGAGCACCGCCAACATCATCGTCTGTCACAGCAGTCTGCGGCGACGACGGGAAATGTCGCGCCGAGAGTACATGTCACGAGAGAGAAAGAGGGAGACTGAATATAGCTCTCGAGATTGGAGCGATCAACTGAGCGATAAGTGGTTCACCCTGCTGCTGTTGTTGTTCCGGCTCACGGGTCATCTAACGTAGATCAGGGGTAGGGAGTTCTTTGAGAATCAAACGATCTGAAACGTTCGGAATCGATTTTTTCCATTGCTCGAAAGATACGATGGCTTCCTGCTGAGAGTACAGATTAGACGGCTGTCTTTTCTAGCTCTCCAAAGCGAGCCTCTTCTAATTGCCACCAGCTCGCCTTTCCAATATGCGCTTTCGAGAGTTTTGTCTTATCCTGGAGATCCTCCTGATCCGAGGCACCAATTTGCTCCAAGTCCCTACCTTCGATTCACCCGGTCCTCGAGAGCTCGCTCCGGTAAATCCGAGCTTGTGAGCGTAGTCTCTGCATAATATGTCTTGAGTCAATCGGTTCTGTCCCACGATATATTATGTCGGGTCCATGAACCGCCACTGATTACGTCCATGCTCGGGACACGCTGTGATGCTCTCGCTTGGAGCCGACCCTACGAGAACATTTGCTTGATCATATCATACGTAAACTGAAATATGATTCCCAAGTGCATGAAGTCAGTGAGTCGTCGGGACGAGGCTTCCGTATGTTTTTCCGACTATTTCAATCCTCGCTCCCTTATCTTCCGAGTCTCTGCTCAAATTCGCGATGGAGCTGGGCTTCATGACGTTTCCTCGAATGAACGGTCGGACGCAATCAATGCCCATACTCCGAGGACTGATCACCCCCGTAGATCCACGACCCAGAGATCGCGCTCTCCGTTGGCAGACTCCCTCTCGCTCCACTGAGCCCGAGTCGAACCCCCGTCACTATGGAAACCTGGTGAGCGTGCTTGCGATCAGCTGTTTCGAACCCCTCAGCCTTCGGACTGTCCGTGGACAGAAACTCTCACTCGCGAACATCAATCCGTGATCCAGTGCCTTATAGGCTATCGTTGCCCCAGTCTAGGCTCGAATATGAGTGAAGACTCAGCAGTCGACGGGGACGCTGAGGAGAACCGGAAGGATAATGTTCAAGTTTGTGTGAGATGCCGGCCGATGAGCGAGTCAGAAATTGTAGGAAATTACAAAAACATCATTACGGTGGATCACATCGGCGGAACGGTCACAGTCAACAGTCTGAACCCTTCCGAGCCCCCGAAAGTAAGCTGACGTCCTCGTCACATCGCTATCGGGGAGAAAATGGTCTTTCGTTCCGCATGTGACTAAGGGCAAGCTCGCTCACGGAATCCGATCTTGCAGAGCTTCACGTTTGATCTTGTGTTCGGACCAGACTCTAAGCAGGTCGACGTGTACAACAGAGCGGCTCGACCGATAATAGACAATGTTTTGCAAGGTGAGTGGCACTCCGCCGGAAAGGGGGGGAGGGGCGGCCATTCACCGCGATGCCGAAACTTATTCCAAAATCATCGAAGGCGTTACATTTGGTTGTTCGACTGATCGTTGAGATTTCGCTCTCTTCTCCCAGGATACAACGGGACCATTTTCGCTTACGGGCAAACTGGGACGGGCAAAACCTTCACCATGGAGGGAGACAGAAACGTCCCAGAACTCAAAGGAATCATCCCGAATTCCTTCGCGCACATTTTCGGTCACATAGCGAAAGCTGCCGATCGAATGAAGTGGGTAGAATGATTCATCGTTGCGCAAGCGCGATCTTCCCTATATGCTATCGAGCTTCGTTTGCAAGATGCCCATGAGAGTCAGCGGATAGAGTTCCTCCGGCGCCGTTTCCGCTTATCGCTGCAATGTGATTTTCTTCAGATTTTTGGTGAGGACGTCTTATCTAGAAATTTACAATGAGGAAGTCCGTGACCTCCTGGGCAAAGACCAGAGCGTACAACTCGAAGTGAAGGAGAGGCCGGACATCGGTGTCTACGTCAAAGACCTGTCTTCATGCGTTGTGAATAATGCCGATGAGCTGGACCGGATCATGACCCTCGGCAACAGGAACCGTGAGTGTGATCGGGGTGTCTCTGCTGACGAATTTTTCGTGGGCGAGAAAAATTGGAGAAAACGAACAGTGGCGCGCTTCTTGTGGGGTGAATTATCTCCTCACCAAATCGCTTCACGACATTACAGGAGCTGTTGGCGCGACGAACATGAATGCTCATAGCTCGCGGTCACATGCCATTTTCTCCATTACCATTGAATGCTCTGAACAGGATCATGTCCTGATGGGAAAGCTGCATCTCGTCGATTTAGCCGTGAGTAAGAATTCTTCTTTCTATGATACATGAACTCCCTAGAATCCATTGCTGCATCCCTTGAGTGATTTGCTCTTCGGCGAGCTACTCGCTTGCGCATCGGTGTGCACCCATTGGCCCGACAACCGTCGGCTCCGAGACATCGAGGCTGCTCCGAAAGGCGACCTAGAAGTTAGCTCGGCTTGTATTTTCTTGTAGTGAATGTTCCAAGTTTCAAGTTTCGTTTCGAGAGACCCCAGCTCGAGCGTCACACAACATAGCTGACTTGTAGTGGGGTTTCGTTTGGGGTGTCCGCCAGGATCCCCGACAGAGAGGGTCCCATTCGCCCATTCGAAGGCGTTCTGCTATGCTTGTATTTTTGCTCTCTGATTCGCTTGCTCGAAACATGAACTCGAGAGTCTGGTGATCGAGGGCATGGACACTCGGCTAAGATATTCGGCACGAGGATAAGAGTAAAGGGGAAAATACTCCGAAACCTGCTCATGGAGGAACGTAGCAGAGGTTTCACCGCTTTATTCAACAACGAAACGCGTTAAGAGATTATCAGGGTAACAGAATGAACATGATGAACGTATCTATCACCACGATGATCTCAAACGAGATCTATACTCAACCAACTGTGTGCTCATCCAGACGAAACGATGAACGCGCGAAACGATGAGTGTTGATTGGCCGACATTCGTGACTTTTACTTGCGATCGACTCGTCGAGAAGGCCAACCCATATATCGCGCTTCAAAACGCATGCGTTATAGAGGCTTCTGAAATCAGAATAGTAATCGAGAGTCGATTCAAGGGAAATTGATGGTTTTCGAAGAAACCATGACTTGTTCCCATCCTCTATGAGCCTTTGATTTACAAACGATAGGTGGGCGGGCGACAGCGATGATTTGTCCCGGTGCGAAAGTTATTCCATGTCAATGCGTTTTCCTCTTGTGATATGCGGCACCATTCAACGGATGTTCCCATAGTCAACTTTGGTGGCGAACATCGATCTGTAGAGCGCGTAACCAACGATGGTCGCGAGAGATACCCCGGCCAAGGTGCTACCCACAGCTACGGGGACTGTCCGGTCGTAGTTGTATGGATCCAGTGTATGGGCCATGGCCACTTGCTGGCAACGCGAGAGGGGTCCGTAGTTTCCTGTCAGCTGATAAGCTTGAAGCCGAATATCCCTGAGTTTAACCCTAATTTCCGAGGACGAATTCTGATGCGTGAGCACCAGGGGCGGATAGAGGGGACAACCATAAGATTGGCCCATCGGCGTCTTGAACAGACTGATGTTTTGCGTGGCCGAAGCGTAACGCCGTCCTGGATTGAGAGCTCCAGGGAAGAGCGGCGAATTCGTGTTGTATTGAACTTCGATTTTGTTCACGTACCATGAGCTGGGCGAATGAATTCTAGCGAAATGCATAATGAACTTGAACAGTGGCCACTGCACTTCGAATAGCGGTTCTCTCGATTCCGTAGGACAAACACCTCGCGTTGCTAGTTCCCGGTTTGGGGGCATCTTGATTGATGCATATTTCTTGCCTGACGCTGTGGCGTACGGAATTTCGAAAGTCGCTTGGAATCTCGCCAGAATGCATATTGTTCCATCAGAGTTCCACACGGCCAGCGAATGCTCGGGGGCCTTGATTCGAATTGTGGAACTCCGCTGAGCTAACGCGATCGGCTCGCCGCGAGTTTCGTTTGATCGGGGCAGCTCCTCGTGCGGAGCTGTGGCTGGCCTATCGTCGGCATGCTCGTGGTTTTCTTCAGGAACCGCGCTATCGGTTGCGATGATTCGTTGCTCAGGCAACTCGTGTGCACTAGCATCCTCGTACTTGGAAGCATCCAGCGGCGGGAACACAACTGGCTGTCGGAAAGCACCAGCGCTCGAGATACATGCGATTGCGATGAGCAGCAAGACGGAGCTTCTCGACATCTTCATCTCCTGCTGCTGTGCACGAACGCTGGTAGAGCGGGCAGTCTAGCGGAGGACTGCAGTAAGCCTGCTTGCCTTGTGTGCAATGCTTGCTCGTCTGCGTGTTCGCTTGCCAGAGCGCACTTCGAGGAGCGTGGACTCCGCGTCGCCTGCGCTCTTGGCGCCAAGTCACATTTTTGCTCAGATCTGTCGCGATGCCATCAATTTACCGAAGAAAACCACACGAACCCATGTACAGCGGTTACCACGAGTAGTTCCTTGTTAAGCGTCACCCTAGGACATCCCCTCATGAGAGTTGTATCGTCGAGCTTCACACCTGACCGGTCCCTTTGGACCTCCTCGGTTTTCCCCTCGGTTTTTCGGGCCATAAGTTACGAAGCGCCATTCTTCCTCCGGCGCCGTTCTGACGTTCCGAGAGATTTCCGTCAGGTCATTCGTGAGGTGGTCCGTCATATTTTTCGTCAGGTCTCCAATCAGAGCCTCCGTCAGGGTTCCCCTTCCATCTGGGCATCTCGGGTGGAATCTATTCAGCCCCAAAACCTGGGGAGGGATTGAAGTGCCGAGTTACGAAATTATTCAATGTTCCCGATCCGAGGAAAACATGAAGCGAATAGCGAGTGGTGGTGCATCATCTCATAACATAAACGCATGGGTCCGAATGGTTTCATGGGGTCCATCTCACTCGAACTCTTCACTCGATAATCAGCCGACTCCAATCCACGGGGGCCTACCTAGGTTCGCCGAAACAAGGTCGCAGGGGAGCATCGGGAATTCGAATGATTTCAATAAAACGACATCGCCGATTACCGACACTCGGGAGAATGCTCTCTGCCTGCCTCTGATACCACTTCACGAATTGTGCGTTGGCGCGTGAAGTTCATTTATAGGTATCTAGAGCGGAGAGAATGTTAGAGCTTTCTGAGCAGCGAAATTCTTCCAGGGTTCTGAGCGTCAGAGCAAAACCGGAGCCTCGGGACAACGATTGAAGGAGGCGTCCAAAATCAACCTCTCGCTATCGACTCTCGGCAACGTGATATCTGCCCTGGTCGACGGCAAATCCACGCACGTGCCTTATCGCAATTCCAAACTCACGCGACTGCTGCAGGACTCTCTCGGAGGGAACTCAAAGACCCTGATGGTGCGTGGTTCAAATCGTTTCGATGCTCACGATGACTCCAGAAATACTAGGCGGGTGGAGATGAAGTCGTCGATATCGTTTTTATGTCATTGGTCGACACCCCCTTCGCAGGTAGCAAACGTCGGTCCAGCTCAGTACAATTACGAAGAAACTGTCAGCACTCTAAGATACGCCAATCGAGCAAAAAATATTCAAAACAACGCTCGGATCAACGAAGATCCGAAGGACGCCCTTCTGAAGTGAGTTCTGAGAGATGATTCCTTACGTTCGATGGTATCATGAGGGTCGATAATAATGACCGATACTTGAAGAATTGCCAGGAATGCTCGGCAGAGCCGATGGGGACAGAATGCGCGTTAGGGTTTCAATTCCCCGTATACATGCTGAGCTTCCCCCGCAGGAAATTCCAAAAAGAAATAGAAGACCTCAAACGTCTTCTAGCGGAAACAGATGCCGAAAGCGGCGGAAGTGGTGCCGAAGAGGCAGAAGACGAGGCGACTCCAAATGTGCAAGCGTCAGGTCAGAATGCGGGCTCACAGAAGTTCCAGAAAAGCACTGAACTCCAAGAGAAATTAGCTTATCTGCAGAAACGGATCATCGTGGGAGGAGAGAATCTTCTCGATAAAGGTTTGTTACCTGTTCGAAGGAGGCTCGACAAATAGGTGATTAATTGAATGAATCTATCGACTCCGTCACCCAACTTAGCGGGCTCGACGGATCGATATCTAACATAGGTGGAACGCATTATCGAAATTCGATTCAAACCCGCAGCGGAGGAACAAGAAGTTCTCCTGGAGGAGAGTCAACGAGAGCTCGAGAAACGGAAAGAAATCGAAGAGGCATTACGGGAGGCTCTGAGGATCAAACAGGCAGAACGCCTCGACATCGAAGAGCGCTACTCCGATCTGCAGGAAGAAGCAGCCGGGAAATCACGAAAATTGAAAAAAGTCTGGAGTCTCCGACAAGCGGCCGAAGCGGAGATGGCTGATATGAGGAGAGATCATGAGCGTGAGATGGAAGGATACATCGACAGCGTCCGACAACTGAGTAGGGAACTTAAGCTCAACATGCTGATCATAGATACGTTCATTCCGGAACAATTCCAGGTATGATTCGCGGGAGCCTCGAATAAAAGGAGGCATATGGAATTTACGATTCTACCTTTCGAAAATCCCCTTCTGAGGACATCCCGTCGCTTTCCAGCAACTCATCGAGAAAAACTCCACCTGGAACGAAGATATCGGAGAATGGCAACTGAAATGCGTAGCGTACACAGCGAACAATCTGAGCAAGCTGGATACCGCCGCAACCAGTGAACCCGATGAGCTCGTTTACAGTCGGGACGATCTGTATCACTCGTACGGAGTCGCAAAAACACGGAAATGAAGGGACTGAGACGTCGATTCGACCTCTACCCTGGATGACCGTCCACGTTTTTCATAATCAGTACCTAATAAAGCTTTCGGACGTGTTCGACCATCGATCCCGAGAGCACGATTCCTTACCCTCCCGCGGCAAGCTCATGGCTATATATCAATTATGTGTATCATGGCTTGACATGGATGAGATCAATGGATCCGGACTCCGACATCTGGGAGCCATTATATAATCGAGGAGAGAAGATCTTACAGAGGAACAGCAAATTTCCTTTATTTAGTGATCCTTGATAATTGCGCGGAGCTCCAGATGGACGGGAATCTAACAGCTCTCGCGAACGGCAGATTCCCCGGCACAAAAAGCATCCGTCAACGCCGATGCTCTCACACGACTCTCGGGAACAGGTTGTGCCACGAGTAGACCAGCCTTCGATCCGAGGGATGCTGACTCCGGCGAACGACAGCGATCGGTTCGTCACGCGGATCGGCTGCGAGTGGTCCATCGGGAAGGGATTCGTCTCCGTGCTCGTGATTCTCCTCGGGCACTAGGCTGTCGATCGCCATGATTTGCTTCTCCTGGAGATCGATATCTCTGTCGTCGAGGTACTTGGCCACATCCAGGGGCGGAAAAACGACTGGCTGGCGAAAAACCGCCGCATCCGCCAAGTTGAACACTACTATAGCGATAAAATAGATGTAATACAACATTTCGCGCTTTTCGCTTGGAACACTCGGATTTTAAGTCCTCGGAGCAGAACATGCAGAAGGTCGCAGACAGGCGGCGCTCCCTCGTAGCGCTTGCCGGAGCCGGCTTCGGGGAGCTCCATGCTTCCGGAGACTGGGTGAGTCAGGTCGGTCTCAAAGGGAAGAAACATCGCATTGGGAGGGATGCTCGAGTTCTCCAAAAACGTTCGAGGGATGCAGAATACAGTATGCTCGATATTTCCGGAGACGAATACTTATTTAGGGATACATTTAGTATATTAAGGAATGTCTGAAAGGAAATCGAGTCTATGAGCCCTCTCCGAACCCCGAATTTTGAATCTCTCGGAAAATCACCGGCGTCTCGAGCCGCTCAGCACCTAGGATCGATGAGGCGCCCGGAGGCAGCGAGGGAGATTTAATTTCCGTCAAAATCGACGCGAATGCGCCTCCATAAGATGACGCAATCTGCGAAAGGGCAACGATATTTCGAGGCGAGTTCCGTGCGGTGAGTAGGAGGACTCAAGAGGGAAGATTAGACTCTCTCGCAGAGAAACAAGGCCGAGTATGTGGCATCTCGTGTTTTTAGGGGTGTCATGGTAACGTCAGAACCCCGGACTCGGAAGCGGGCTGTGCTATGAAATCGCTCCGTCAGGAATCGCACAGCTGTTCGCTCAGCAAGAGCTCACTCAGTGGACTCCTGCCGACCTCTTGCCTTGCATAATCCTATGGCTGACATCGTAGCTTCATGGGAAGTGCCGCTCGTAGGTCAGGCATACAGGGTAGAATTCGAACATGGAAGCGCGACTGGTAAACGGGTCGTGTTCGTGAACGGTGCCGAGGTGCTTCGTAAGGATTGGCTCTTCAAACTCGTGGGCGAGGAGACATTCGAGATTCTGAATCACAAATGCATCATATCCATCAAGGCTGTCGGAGGTTTTAGGTTAGTGATCTGTCCCTCGAATCCCGATGAGGAGAAATATTCCTCCACGAAGTATCCGAGGCAAACGGCTCAAATGAACAAGAGGTTCGAGCTGCTCCAATATTGCTCAACAGGTATTCGTACCGATTGTTTGTGGACGGTAGGGAGATTGAGTCGTTCCGCGAACGGCAATCGAAAATACTCAAAACCTGGATTTACGTGGATCATCCCGAAGCACAGCCGACGCGTGTGACTCTCGAAAGAGATACCATGGACGTTTACGTCAATGGCGAGAAGGTGAGAGCTTCGCTAGAGTGCTACGAGGGTCCACTGAAAACTACACGAGAGTAGAGGCAACTCATCGGAGCTCGGAGGTTTTTCTTAACCTTGTTAGCATCTAATATGGGCTTCTGGGCTCCACCTAACACCCGGTAAGGTCTCTGGGATTTCATGGCCATCGAATTGGGTCTACACCAAGCAAGCCGAAACATTGAGGTCGACTGAGCGGCGCAAGAACTCTACAAAAATCGATTGATTCTTGCCGTGACTCGCATCTATCAGAGTTAGAGAGCGATCCCCTGAATGTCAGTCGATCCGCGCTAGTTCTGCGGTCTGGAACGAGGACTCCCATGCGTAGTCAGAGAATCAGTGGAACTTACGTCTCCATTCATCACAGGTCGAATCAGTCGCGGAATTCGTCAGCGAAGGAACAGAAACCCATTTCCAGGTGAGTTTCCGAAGATTACGAGTTCGACGACCCGAGGAAGACAATACTTGGGAATGGAATGAAAATCGATGCTCGATATGAGTAGGACGAGCTTGGGGCGAACGTCACAGGAAAACACAACCTTGCTCAGACGACTCTTAAAGCATGCCAAAGGGCTTGAAGATACTACACGAATCACGGAAAAATCAATATCGACCGGCTGCTAGAGAAGAGGATCGAGGCACTTCGCGAAGGATTGAAGAGGCGTCTCTCTTCCCACAGATCGGGAATCGGATGGGAGTCATCACTGGTGCGAGCAGCGGGAGCAGACACGAAGGTATAATTCATAATTTGCTCATTGATGGTCATCTGGTGCCCGAAGCTCCCGAGGAAGCAGCCCCGGAGAATGTCGCCATTATGGAGGACCCTTGAAGATTCTGTATAATGATGACGATCTAAAGAAACGGATGTGAATGGAATGGATGGAAAACAAATCTGCGGATCACTTCTTCACAACACCCGCCGCGGCATGACGGCACAAAGAGCTGAATTACTCCGAATCTTGCGGTTACTTTAGCCATTGGCGGCTAAGATTCACAGACGGGGAGCACCCGCCTCCGGAAGCGAAGGCGGGTGCTCCCCGTCGATCTCGATTGAGGAGGAAAGTCGCCTCCTCTGGGGAATACTAGAGATTAGAGAGAGACAATCGAGGGAACGGTCTCGATGACTTATCGCGGACAAGGTCCCGCAGATTTATTTTTCGCTAAGTTTCGAGAGTTCGATTCAACGATGGTAACAGCATTGATGAATTATTTACAAGTGAACATTGGTTTCTATACATCGACTCAAAACAATTCAGTTTGTTATTATCTTTGCGGAGATATAACTTAAATATAACTTCCTTCCATTCTCCTTCCTTTCAATCAAAAACAATGCTGCTAGAAGTGAGCGTCGAGCGCCAATCGTGGTGAAAATTGATCTGCACCATTCTTCTGCTAAAATCAACTCCCGATTTGGTTAGATCCTCTGTCTCCACTCCACTCCAAGAGAAGAGAATTCCCGGACTCGCACTTGGCACTTATTCCATTGATGATTATGAAGCAAATGCTCTTGTCCGAGCAATACGATTTGATTTTTTTCCCATTTGTCTGAAACATCAGAACTTCGTATGCACGAAGTTGTCGAATGTGAAGGAGGTGGTGACGGTTCCTTTCTCGGCTCGCTTGCAAGAGCCTCTCGGAAAAATGCTTCCGATCCGCGGCAGCCAGCGATGATTGCCGCTACCGTGGCTCCTCACAGGCGAAGACTTGCTCGGCTTTGAAGTTCTTCTGCAAAAGCATCAAGCGTCGAGGGATCGTACTCGTCTATATAATCGCCGAAGTACCTCGCTCTGCTGCTCTGAGACTGCTGCTGCAGCTGGCCTTGAAGTTCGCTAGGAGACCTCCTCCCTTTCCTTGAATGTACACATCACCTCATGAGCGGCGTAGGTTCCCGATTTCCCTCCGGATTTTTCTTCCGTGAACCACGAGTCCGGTTACGGAAGAAAACACGATGCCATCGAAACTGGGAATGCAGAGCAGCAGAACAAGGCGACCAGCAAAGAGGTGATGATAAAGATGAGGATGGAGGAAGATGGAGGGAGGAATAAAGGTGGGGGACACGGCTGCTGTGGGCTCTTGTAGCGGGATCTCTCTATTGAAGCGAGGAGAGAGGAAGTTCCGAGGGTTCCGGGTGATGAGATGATCGGCCGCATGCAGCTTACCTCAGCATCGAAACATCATGCGCCGTGTCCGGCAGAGGTTTATTGTAAGTTTCTGGCAGTATGATGAGGAGAAGAATCGAGACGAGGCAAAGGCTGCCGTTGATTATAGCTCCGGCTTCGGGGAGCTCCTGCGTAGGTACCTGCACCGCAGAGCGGAAAATTTATTTCTCACCCGAAAATTCTAAAAGTCTTCATCGACCCTAGGAGGCTGCACGATTCGAGCTTGTCGACTAGTTTGATTGACGTACCATGTCTCTGAATAACGGTTCTGCAAGCAGAGCGAAGCGGAAGAACACGTGCTTGCTGGCGGAGCCGAGAGCACGCACGGTGGTCGGAAATACTTCATCACAATAAACAGATACTATCGCCAGACACGTGGACGCCAGAAAACGGCCCCCCATTGCCATGCCGGCATCGTACCATATGTTCTTGCCTGAAATTTCGTACGGTGAGCGAGCTTTAACTTTATTGCATCCGGGCTCCCGATATGGGACACGAGGTATGACGGTTCGGGCGAGGGAGTTATGTATTATAGTTTGGTGGATAGAGTGCCAGTCCGCTCAAAGAGCTGCCGGTTCTATTCTTTGAGCAGCTTGATCAATTTCCTCAAGACCGGGAACTCACCGAGATATCTGGGTACTAGGACTGTGGCGGCGTAGACTCCCGCCAAAAGTAAATAACAAAACACCGAGGTCCATTTACGACTCCAAAACCGCAAGGCGTACATCGCGAAAACTGCAGCCGTGATCTCAGTCACCGACCAGATCACATAACCCCAGAAGAGGTTATCGCGAGGGTGCGCCATGAAGCCATAAGGATCCGCAATCGTTTGCGTCGGTGAATTGCCGAAATATAACAAGTAGCCAAGAATGACCCTGGAAGATGACACGGAAAATTAATTGACGACACTTCGTTCAATTGCTGTCGCATCCTGTCCCCTTTGAATGTTCCCGGAAAGCATGAGGAATGAGCTCAAAAAGAGGCACTCACATGATGATGAAGGTGCACACACTGTTGGTGCGCACGTTGGGCTCAAACATGCTGTAGTCGCGAGTTTTCAGGTAACTCTCCTGGTCGAGGTAGCTCTGGCGAACGTGGATTGCATCCATTTCGGAGAATATTTTCCCATTGATTCTCGCTATGCCCGAGATACATTTCTCAGCTCTTTCATGTCGCCCACTCGTGAGAAGCCATCTTGGGCTCTCTCGGAAGAATCTAAGACCGATGCACCTTTAGCTCCTCAGTCTTCCCTCTACATCGGGTATGGGAATAAAATTTAGGGCTGCACGTCAATTTCGGAATTTCCGGGAAAAAGAAGACTCACAGTAAGAGCGGCAGGAGCACGACGGAGACTACCGTGATGGCGAGTTGCAGGTATCGCCAGTTCGGCGAGATCCATAGAGCTGCAGCAGGCAGCGCAACGATACCGAGGGACCAGCTCAAGAAAAGACCTGCAGCCACCCAGCATCTCATATGAGGAACCAATGTCTCCATTTCTGTGAATTCAAAGAGAGGAATTTATTCGATCGCTCCGAGTCACGGAAACGCGACTTGTTCGGAGTCAATTTGGTTCTAGAGCGCAGTTATGCCAGTTCCATATCTATTTCCGAGATGAAGGAGCGATACGCGGCGATGACTCTATTTAGAATGTCGTCACATTCCGAAAATGATCCGAATTGTTCAAGCTTTGATAGTAGATCGAGACGCTGTTGCGAAAAGTTCAAATGTCGTGACCCGAGGAGAAGACATGGTCAGTGATAATGGGCAATATTTAGATGAAGAACTCCTTCGAAGTGCGCGCGTCCTTCTATCCTCATGTTATGGCCGTCAGAGGTCAGGAACTACTGAACACGATTAATGATGATCGGTTACGCGCGATTCATCCATCGCCTGTGTGATGGCGCTAGCTAGTGGATTTGAGACGTCGACGCGGCAACGGAACAAATGGCAGCGACTTGGGATTCGCGCCGGAGAAGTTTATCGAGGGAGAAAGTGATGAGCCGTCAAGAACAATCGCCGCGATGGCAGCCAGTCGGGAAAAAATTGAATCGGCGGATCAGCGTCCACACACAACATCGTCGCTGGACCGGAAGATCGATCCTGAAGGATGAAGTTGGCTAGAAAAATTCCGTCGACGACAGCTCTACTTACGGAGAACGAACGCCACGAGCATGCCTCCCAGACCGAAAGAGGAACCCGCCTTTGCCAGTGCGAAGTATTCCCACGACGGCATAAACGCAGCTGTTACCGAAAATGCAACGTGTTGTATATTGGCCAGCACAATCGAAGGGACCCGGCCCCAACGATCGGCCAACATTGACCAGAACAAAGCCCCGCAGAAAAGACCGGCCAGGTGAGCACCACGCGGGAAAAGTGAGAGCCATGAAGCGTCGCAGACCAACTCCCACTGGAAAAATGAAAACGACTTTATTTCTTCAGTTTAGAGTCGGTGAGTGGACGAGACTGCGTGGATTTCCCCGGCTCCGGTTCATGGAAGTTTTCGCCGCGTCAGATCCTTGATTCATTGATGCGGTCGAAAAAAAAGAACCCAACAATCGAACCTCTTCAATCATGGTCCGTTTGTGCACGTCTTGCGGAAAGACCCATCTTGTGCAGGGCTTCGACGAGTTTGGATCCACAACGACGATCTCGCTTCCGTTGACTCTGAGATCGTCTTTCTTCAGATCCGACCCGTTCCGTATATCGAAATCCCGGATGAAGCACCTCTCTATGATATGCCGCTCTGCATCGCGTAGTCGTATCGAGTCTAGAACTTCGGATCGACCCTGAACACTTGGAACGGCGGAACCGTCGCTGAAAAAGAAAAAAACGAGTCAGTCGTCCGATCGAGCTCCGATCTTGGGGCAGTGTCCACCATCCCATTTATCGCTCAATGCTCAACTCCAGGAGATCGATATCATTAGGCAAAGAGATGAACGATGCTCCAACAACTGTCCACAGTTTAGGAAACTCCCGTTTGTACTCTCGAATCTAAGGCTTGAATGGGATGAACTTATCGAGATTTTTTTCTTTCCTTGAGGCGAAGCTGCCCGTTATAGACCCAAAATTCGATAGATCGGAGTCGCGCTGAATCGAAATTCAATAAGATGATTCCGACGCTTACGCAACGGGATCCTGCCGAAACTCCAACAAAGTCACGCTCGTTCATACACACACGCGGCCGCACACAGACAATCCGACAACCAGCCAGTCAGTCAAACAAACAGTGATTCATCTTCAATTTCATTAGTTCCGCCGCGGAATCAGCATCAAAAACACATTTGTTGGAGCCCGATCGCCAGCGGAGCCGCGGCCAGCCGCTTGCGAGCGCGCAGGGATTCCGATTTCCATCACAGCCGTGACCGCCAATCTTTGAGCGGCAGCAACCGGAAACAGCTATTTTAACCCGGAGAAAAAACTGTACGACAAGTTGTAGCACGCCAAGCACGGCGCCTTCGACTCTAATGATTGAGTGATGATCGCATCATCCGACGATCCGTGTTTATAGCGACACTCTTTAGCCCCACCGAAAACAACCTCGACCGATGAGCCGTCCTCGGTCCCGATCACTCCTTTAGACCTCCGAAAATTGGACTCAGGAAGCCCGGGGACGGCTTGCACTGGCGACCTGCTTCATTGTTTGTTCTACTGCGCCCCCCTCCTCTCTTCATGATCAAACGCTCGTCATCGTGAGTCCGCTCCGGTGAGATTATGGCTGCGGCGGAAACAACGACCGAACGCAATTTATGGGAGAAATTCCCTTCTCGGAAGCATTGTTTCGGGAATGCGAAGCAGTGCAAATCCAGAGCCACGAAATCAGCTCGGAACCGACAGTTGAATTACTTGGATTCAGGTGCTTGGAGAAAAAGTTGAAACCATGAACATTGACGTAAACTACCTCGTTCTCAACAATACTTTCTCCCGGGGTCTTTTAAAAACATCTCCACTTTCCAGATGTCGAAGAGGAAAAATGAAGAATATATCGGAACCCAACAGCGGTGGTGGACGAAATTTGTATCCAACCGACGACGCCTCGAGACCCCATATTGCGAGTATTCGTTTTTCGTCGAACGGATGGAGAGAAGCAGTTTTTGCGCCGATCAGCATATTTGGGCTCCGCAAGAATCGAGGGGATAGAATTTCAGGTTCACCGAACAGAGGACGGGGACGGATGTGAACAGACGCCCGAGTGGGGAGCTCGAGAGCGATTCGCCGAAGAAAATTGAATCAATCCGACGAAATGAAGTTTCCGTCGTAGAGACCAAGCATCCCGGCGATCCCATTGCAGTCTCAGTTGCAATGATCGCTCGATGATTCTCGCTTTGGGTCTCAAATGACCAGAATTCGGAATTGGAGGATGCTCAGCTCAGACGAGCACAGAAGATGATGTCGGAAACTGGCGGCTACTGTTCAACCTGGCGCGCCCTGAGGCGTTTGATCTGAAAATGGACGCTCACCCGAAGTAGTCGCATTGATAGGCGATGTTGCGGGGGGCGAGAAAGTCGAGTCCGACCGTGTCGTGGAAAGCTATCACTAAACCTAAGATGAGCGTGTAGATCAGGATCACGAAATGCCATTTCCCGAATGTGCCGAGCGATTCCACCGGATCCGGTCTCTGATGAGGTCTCGCTGGAATGGAATAGGCTCGACATTATTCCTTTGCCAAACATTCGAATCTTTCTTAATCGAGATAATATGCAGCCAACGGAGCTCAGGTGCTTGTACATCGAGAGAAATACCGATTCCGCCGCGTGGAATCGGAGATTCCCAGGGATTTCCGCCAAACTCCAGATTGAATCATGATTGTCTCCAATGAGCCATGCTTGTTGCCCCCCTTCTGCACTTCAACGGAAGTGTCCATGAAATCCCCTTCCATAGCGGACGCTCGAATTTTCCGGGCTTCCCATCGACTCCGGCTTGTGAGCTCGAATTGTCTGATGTTGCGTCAAGCAAGCCGAAATCGTGAATTTAGAGTTTGCTCCGCGATTCAAGCCTGAATTCACCTCGCGGTATTTCTATTCAACGACCTGAAAACGGCGGCCAGCCGCGAATTACGTAAGTCAAGCAATCTAAACACATCGACGTGGCGCCATACTCGTGTGCATCAGTTCAAGTAATGGATAGACGACCGGCTGCGTGGGTGAGCGTTTTTATATGAAAAAAAAGCCTCCGTGTCGAGCGGTTTTCTGTGCAGCAGGGTCAAGGCAAACAAGAAACTCAAAACCCGACCATTGCTCTGAAGTGATCGACCGACGAAGGTGGTCTATACCGCGAAGCGACGTCGCCTTTCACCAGCGAATAATAAATGTCACGGGAGTATCACCACTAGCAACGTCATCAAGAGTTCTTGATTTCCGCTGATGTGCCAAATTGTGGGGATGCCGGATCTATCAAATGCGGAGACGTTTCTTTCCTTTGAATTAGCCGATCCGGCGCTTTCTCCCCGATCTGGAACTCTACGATCAAAATACCCGGGACATCGAACAAAACCTCCGATATGGACGGTTCGCGTGAGGGAATCGAACGCCGCGCCGGTCAGATCTCATCCACGCGCGGGGCATCGTCACAAAACGTTGCTTGTCGGCTCATGCAAGAGAAAAGTACCATACCGAGTGACCTCCTGATCCGGACGAGATAATGAACGATGCTAACTACCGCCTGCATTGCTTCAGCGACTCTCCGACAGTTTGTGATAAATAATCGTCGATGAGAACTTTTGGGAACCTACCGTCAACCGTCGAGTAATAACCCCGAGAAGGAATCGAATCGCACCGCTTTGTTGTGCCAGCTAGATTCTCGTGATGCAATATCCGTGTACGAAAAACGCGAAAGTACCACTTGTGATCTGTTATAAAACGGAAGCTCCTAATTGGCTGTCAAATTGAGGAGCTCGTGAATGGGAATAACCGCGTGTTCCTGCTGCAGCTGCTGCTACCGACTCCGCTGATGGATAAAACATTACTGACGCCTCGTCTCGCGAGCAGCAAATAAGGCGAAATGACAGGGGAGCGCAATTTCTGCTGTCCACCTCATGTTTTGGCGCGCTGAGCGGTACTCTTCCCTGCTCGAGAGCTAGTATTTGGCAACTTTCTCTGCGGTCGAACAGGATCGTGGTTCTTTGTGTCACCGGTGGGAGTCACAATGGGCAGACTGTGGCTCCCGAGAGCTGGCTTGAACAATTCAGAGCGATTTCAAGGCTTAAGTGAAATGAACCGGAAGAATGAATCCTGGTGGACGGAACATCGAACTCCTGGTTTCTGTTCCCTTGTAAGCCTTTCTCAACTACTCAGGGCAAGATTCGTGGCTTTTCGGCAGAACTCAGGGCTCTAGATCCCCTCCCTTATACTCTTTCCGGGCAACTGACAGGGCCGACTTGACGGAAAATCGCGTGATTTCGCGGGAACCCGGATTTCCAAGCCCCTCATAAGAGTGAATTTCGCCCGATGGTCGAAACAATGCGAGTAACTCCGTCTCTGAAAGCACAACTCTTATCCCTATCTCGGACTGATAATAGAAGCCGAATTCGAAAACTAAATCATTTTTTCCCACGTAAATCAAGATTTCTTGTGGCTCAGGAATCATAAGGAGAACTTCTGAAAATCCTAATTTGGATACGCTTGAGCGGCAGAAGAATCTGAATCGGTGTACCTACTCGAAATTCGGACTATAACTCAAGGAGACTTTCACTCGACTCAGCCATGGCAGTTTTTTCCGTCCAATTCTGGAGAATTCCCGATCATGTTCTGTCACCATTTCTCCGGAAACGGGATTGATCGAATCCGTCGAACGAGTGGGTCAGATCCGAATAGCGAATGATGTACCTCAGACGTACTTATTCCATACATGGAGGAACACAACGGGATTAGGATCGGAAATCGTTTTGTTTGTTGAAATCGAGGAGGTCGCGATATGTTGTTCCGGGGATATAAAGATCCCTTCCTCGTAGGTTCACCAAGAAGACTTGATCTTATGGCATGGTCCGTATTCATCACCACACTCTTGGTCCGATATTCGCGAATCCTATAATCCACCGCTGGTTCTCATCCTTTTCCTATCGGTGTCCCAGGAATTTTATTTGATCGGCTCGGATGCCGGTAGCGAATGTAAAAATGCGCTTGTAGACTGTGTTGATTCACATCATAAAAATGAGGCGATCGGATCTCGATCCGTGGTACGTGAGCCAGCTTTGTAGAGACACGAAATTCGGGATCGCAATTATTTTTGCCTTGCGCCAGTCGAGCGTCAACGGCCTGAGATGTGACTGCATGCGGTATCCCGGCACAGACGGGATCGATGATGGCGCGCCCGAGAGCCATGGGTAAGTAGGTTTCTTACGGTACAGTCCGAATTGGTCCAGATTGCCCCGAACATAGCTTCTTGTACGATCGTTATCCCTACCTGTTCTCTTAGCACAGGTTTTTCAAAGACTCATCCCAATCTTCAGCGGCACCTGAGGAAACTTACGGGCATGGATGTGACCTCGCCACCGACCGGTCTCCAGACGACAGAAATCATCCGCTTCCCATGATGGCATCCGGCTGACCTCGTGTCAAGGCAAGCGTTACACAGATGTTACGTTTCTGCCTAACGGTGTATTCTTTAAATTTCGTACAGATTTTACATCATCATACGGACGCACGCTAGCTCGAGCATGTGTGGCAATCGTCCGTAATAAAAAACGCAGCGCCCCATCATTTCGAGCTGCTCGGCGACCGCTGGATCACGAGGCAGGGGGAGAATCATATTGTGATTTTCCCCGATCAGATTGCTCACCCGCGCATTTTTTGGTTCCTACCGTCCCCAAGCCCGCGCTTCCCTGAACATTTGTGCGTTGGGACTGTCTATGTAGGTAGTGTTTGTCTATGTCTCGTATTCACGCTCGCGATCGCATGCTTCGGTCACGCGCAAACCGGTCTTACTTCCAGTTTTCCGCGCATTGTCGACAGCATTGCGGTGCTGAGAACCCTAAGAGCCAAATCCGGTTTTCATTAGCTGACTCTTTCACCAGCCTGCCATGCCGTTAGTTGGCACCACGGTGTACCGGAGCGACGATTCCAAGAGCGAATAATCATGAATCGAGTACCGCAAAGGCGTCATGGAGCCGACTTCCGGAGAAAATCGATGGGAATCTCGTGGGAGGAATCGTCAACCAAGCGTTTCGGGTGACTTACATTTCAGCGAATTCATTCTGGAGTAAGGTCTACGGATGAGAGATCTTCCGTAGGAGCTGTATATCGAGCCGGAATCTAGCGTGGACGCTGTGCCGGTCGAGTACGATGGGTCGAGCCTGGAACGGAAATGCGGCTGATTTAATTCAAAGCGTTCCCAAGTCCGCTGCATTATCTGCCTTTCTCGATAGAATTTCGAATAAGGGAAGCGTGGACTGCAATGATTATGTTGATATTCAGCATTCCCCTCCAGAATCCTGGTAAGTTGAGGAATTCTTCCAGGGTAAGTGCTCTTAAGGAAGAAGATTCTTGATAATCATTCCCCAGAAAACATTTCGAATCCTAGTCGATCAGGTGGATACAAGATCACTACCTCTAGCGTTCCTACGAGTCGTGCATCTTCTACGGGTCTACAGGTGCATGATCCGACTGGGAAAACTCAGATCCCAGGCACAGATTATTTACATGACCGAATACGGATGACCGTTCTCCGACTCCGGTGTGGGTGGCCACGCAGGAGTCACAAATTTGTCCTCGAACTTCAACATCCCCTTATCCACGAGGTTCACGAACATTTCACCCGGGAATTGAACGACCGAGGTCCACAGAATTCGAAAGCGGTTTCACTGCGAGCGTTTCACGATTCACGACGCACCCTGTCGCCATCGATATTTCACTCTGCCCGCGATGCATTTCGAGTCTCTCGAACCGGGCGTGATTTCACACTCTTGGGGCTCATCTTGAGCTCTGAACTCTATCCACGAGGAGACGAGGAGAGCTATGGAGAGCTCGAACTCTCGAAGTGACGTGCATGAGGTCACCGGGTCCTCTGAGGAGGGATGAACAGAGAAAATCTCCACCGTACTCGGGTGGAGTTCTTTTAGGGAAAGGTCGGATCAGCGGAGATGGCAAGACCTCCACTTACGAACCTTGCCGGCGAACTATTTCTCGCTTCATGTGCTATGAATGCGATTGTCAGCATACCACGATCGTCGCTAACCCTATCAAAGATGACTTCCGACCTTTATTAGTCGTGGCAGATGTGTGAATGAAGAAGAAAAGCGACACGACCCAAACAGACCGGAATCGACCCGGAACGAACCGTGCTCATTGCTGAGGCTGGTTCAGACGCATTCACAAAACGACTTCACCGAAAACGCTGACCCAGACTTAACGACTTCCTCGAGGATGTCATTGATAGAAAATCATAGATCTTCATCATTAGCGGGCGTCCTTGAGAGGTCAGTCATTGCGGGCGATCGGTGTCGACTGTGAGCAGTCCAATCAACGCGTTCCAACGATTGTTTTGTTCCGTTCGTACAGCCGCTTCGTACCGTCATAGATTGAAGAGAATGCTCCGAGCCAGACTCGTTCTCCGAGGACTTGAAAATTGAGCTGAGAAATCGGGATTTCAGAGAGACCGATACGCCGGAGAATCGACGATTACAACTTGATTCTTGCATGATGTCGTGTATCTCGTCTCGAGTCTAATGTCGGTTCCGTCCGACGATTTCGATCATTTTCCCCGGACTAACTCATGCCCAGTGGAAGTCGGAGCTGATCGATTAAATCGGAACCAATGACATCACTGATTGGTTTCTGATTGACACAATGAAATGGTAGGCGTCGCTCGATTCGAGTTGGGCCCAGCTCAAAAAACTTAGAGCTCGGGCTTGGCTGAGGCTGTTGACCCAGTTTCTGATGGGAGCACTCCACTCCTTGAAACACAGGGATCCACTTCTGGGTCAGCTCCACCCTTCAGACTTGAAAGTCACTCAATGGTCGACATCCGCGAACAACTACGCGATGAGTCAACGAACTTTCGATCTTGTATTGTGTTTGACAGCTTGTATCCAGTATCCACGTCCATTCTCATGTCCGATGGATTTTTCCCCTGGGTCGGGGGCTTATCAAAGGCGATGCTGTATATTGATTGCCGGATTCGGACGAATCCCGGTGTTCCGACGACGCATGGTCGTGAGCTCCCGTAGCGAGCGTCCATTGACGCGCGATCAGGACGGTGTCGGTGAACAGATGGAAACATTTACTTCCTACCCTTCCACGTGAGTTGCGTGACTCAGTCGCTCTCACAAGGGTGTTCGCGGGTGAATCATTAATTTCCACAATGCCCTTGCTGTCCTTGCCGCTCTTCGGAACCGATGGGATGGCGGACTCACACCCATCTCCACCTCACGGGGCGATCGGATTGTCCTACAAACAGTCGGCTCTCGGCGTCTTTTGTCATCGTTCCGAGTGTTGCACCCATCGATCCTGGCCTCCTTCTCATACTCGTCATTTACGCGACTTGTTCTTCGACGCTTTTTCGGCTCTTTGCTCGTTACGTCGAGGCGTGTCGTCCGAGCTTTCTTCCCTCTTTTTTGAAACACTTTTGACGTTCGCAACGTGTGCGAACGGCCCTACTGCGAGGGAGCAGCAGCATCAGCAGCACCAGTTTTCGTGGTGTCGGAGATGGGCAGCGACGTTCGCTCACCGCTCATGACGTCAAAAGTGCTCCGGGAAGACAGGCGGGAAACGATGAGTCCGTCTAACGGGGAGCCGTCAGAAAAGTGAGACATCGATGAAAACGAAGGGGGATCCAAAGGAAAAGAATGAGGTACAGCTCGGAGCGAAGACTGAAGACAACCTTCGGATGTAGACGGATCGTAGTCATGGGGGCCCAAATATTATTGGGCCCTTTTCCCTCGTGGGCTCCCTCAGCGCGGCGGATGTGAAACATCGGGCGGTCGTTCTCCTAGGCAGTTTATAGTCTTCACCGCGCGGACGTCTCATGAGGAGTCTTGAACTCAAGTCAACCGACATTAGATTTCGATACGAACCAATCCACCGGTCGACGGAGAGGGAAATTTCAGAGTCTTTTCTTTATGATTCAATGCTCGAAAGACGAATTCACGAAGTCTTCACGAAATGACAATATTCGCAATCGATTTCTCAACACGGCGGTCAAAGCGAGCTTGGCAGTCAGCGAGCGTCGGATCGAGCACGGATCGTTTCTCCTTTTTTCCTTTCTCTTTAAAATCACAAAGTCGATATATCTAAGTGGATATATTGTTTAAGGTTTTATTGCTCGGATACAACGTAGTCATCCGTCTCCGTCCGTTGTGCGCTTCGATGGAAAAGTTATTTCTGCTTCGTATCCTCCCGCCTGTGCGGGTGTTTGTCGTACCAATGATTCCGATCGACGCGAGCTCAGGGACGTTGAATTTCATCGTGATCCTCTCGACGAAATTGAAATCGCTGTCAGCTCCCCCATTCGAGTCGCTCGCTCGCAGGGAGGGATTCGTGGAAGAGCTCCGTCGGGCGCAGAAGGAATTTACTGAGCTCTCGCCGTAGGTTCTCCGTCCCGAAACCCGCTCCTTCGTGAGGCACCAGAATCTATCAGATGGAACAGCCCCTAGTGCAGTGAATCATTCATGTTCCGTTTCCCTGATTGACTTCCACGCCGAAAGCGTGAAAGAACAGAAAGTCTTGGAAAAACATGCGACGCCAAAGATTTTTACACGCACATGTTTCGGAAACGATGTCCGTGACACGTGACATTCGAGGTATATTCCTGCCGCCACCAAGACCGTTCCTTTCTCTGTCGCCAGGAAGATTCAGGCCGATCCCGTTTCGATCCATTCCTTTTTTTTGTTCGTCATGAAGTCTTGGCTCGAGTCGGGGCGAATGCTGTTGTAACAGTGTCTTCCGTGTCGCCTCTAACAACGGGAAAAAGTTCCGCCCGTGACCGTTCTGCGACACGTTTTTACTAGGTAATTCCGACGAGAACTCCCCGCGAATTCACGCTGCTCAACCTTTAGCGTATCTAGACCTCGAGTCAGTCGGGGCGGACGAAGATTTGATTATCCGGCACAGATCGGGCCCTGGCTCATTGAGCTCGCATGTTATTCAATACAAATGTTGGGAACACTTCCCTATCAACGCAGCCGACGCTGTGGATCCTTCACTGGCTTGTTAAGAAAAACCACCTCATTCTCCAAAACTAGACTTCTGACGGCGATCACGGTCGGCACTTCTGAGACTCGGAGCGGGAATCCAAGAAAACGCACCACGGAGCAAAACTGAGCGAACCATGCTATTTCCAAGGGCTCGGCCGTCAAGCTCGTGGAAACGAAAACCCGACAAGTCGTATCGTTGCGTGGGAATGATTCCGACACCGAGCCTGAAGCTGATTAGCGGGCCCCGGGGGAAATCAAAAGAGCGTTATTTTTCCCGGTGTTTCCGGTCCGCGTTTTAACGGCGCTCCACACTCTGCGCGGAATATCCGGTGCGAGGGCGGGCGGGGCGACCGCCGGATTCCGCTCCAGCTCCGAGCGGGGAAGCGGGAATCACGGGTATCATTGCGACTCGAAGAGCCCTACGTGTCAATCAGCGGTGTGCCGGAAAGTAGGATAAACGTTTGCCCATTTCCGATCTTTTCCTTCGATCTGACGGACGCGACAACAACACGACTGCTGCCACCGACAACAACGGTCAACAGCGACATGGAAAAAGAACATCACGGAGGTCGTATTGTTGTCCAGTACACAATCCCTGCAGTAGCTTCGTACCGGTTCGTCTTCTCAAATGAAGGCCCACGCATCACAGAATCATCATTAAACGCACAGGGCGAGGTCAGAGTTCACACTGTGAGCTTCAGGTCACACTGTGTAATAGACCACAATCACAACCGGCGCCACAACCACGAAGACGTAACTTCGGTCTCACTCGGTAATTACCTGATCACTGTTGAATAATGCGCTTTGCCACTCTCCGGTTCCACGTAGAGGTGGCTCACGACTCGGCTATCGACGGTCTCCATTCGAGAACCATCACCATGAGCGAATCATCCCATGAAACAATCCCGAGAGTATTGAGATCTCCGCGCTGAGATGAAGCGCGCCGGTTTTCTCATTTGAGACTTCTCACCATCAACTTCTCACGGAACAAAACAAAGACACGCACGAGTAAACTCCCAGGATACGGGAGACAAATCCCTCCGCTGTGGAGAAGCACAACCAGCAACAAAGGATATCGGAACCGACGCGAAATGACGGAAAAAAACTATCGTCGGATCCACCAACGCTTTCACTTTCGGAATTGAACTTCGCCCGGGGAAAGT